ATAAATGACCTGATGCACCACAGAATGAAAGCTTTGGGGGGCTCTTCACAGGCCCTGTAAATATCAGGCACAGACTTCAAATGTTTTATCTCGTAAATACTTTTCACGGTAGCCAAAGCACAACATGGGACTTCACCAAGGTGGTTTGAGTAGGTGTTCCAAGTCAAAGTCCGACTTAAAATAAGACTTAAAATCTTCGGAGCTCTTGAAAAGCCAGAAAGGGGGTTTCAGCAATATTTAAAAGGATTACATAAATGACACCAGTCAGAGTTGAGAACTTAGTCAGGACTGCATTCCCTTTGACCATCTACCATAAACTAACATGATAGTATTTCACAGGCAAGTAACCCTTAACAACTTAGTGGTTAGGGTGCCAATCCCCCATGTAATGAAAAATCTGCATATAACTTTTAATTTCCCCTGAAATTAGATGTCGTCAGTATCTGAAGGAAACTGATTTCAGGATCCCTGTGGAGACCAAATTCTACAGATGCTCACATTCCCAATATAAAATAGTGTAGAACAATGCATATAGATCAGTCCTCCACATCACCACGTTCCTAACTGCTGATCACAAACGATACAGGTACTTATTGAAAAAAAAAATCTACATATAAGTGGGCCCACACAGTTCAAACCTGTGTTGTTCAAACCTTTATTTGATCACATCTGCTCACTGGGGTGGGGTAGAAGCTGAGGTACAACTTGATCTACTACATTCATCAGTACTGAGCCCCCAGCCTTGGCTTCCTAGCACTATTAATCGTATCTGTGTCTGTATGTCCATGTGTCCATGTGCAACTTTACCCCACGCCCATATTAGATTTTCATCTTCTCCAGGATTTTATTTTTATGTTTTTCTTAAAAACCTCTTGTTTAGTCAACAATGAGCAAAAAACATTTGGTGATAATGACCATATAAAGTCATCTATTAATTAACTTTATTCATTAAGTAAAAAAGTTATTGGTACCTACTAAGTTCAAGGCACAGAGCTATGTGCTATACAAGATGTTTTAAAAAGGAATTTGTCATGAATCCTACCCTTAATCAGATTATGGTTTTTAATATGACAGATTCTATTTGGTTTGAGCCAAGGAAAACCTCAGCTAAAATTGAAGCCATCTAGGAGGAGTCCCTTCCTTCTAGAACCACCTTTTTCTTGAGATTCTTCTGAAAGTTCTATAAACTCTGAATTGCCTTTGTAGTTCTCAGCACCTAGGAGGTGAACAGAATATGAGGACTAGAACCAAACAGTGAAACAGATGTGGCACTGTGGAGATTACAGACAGATTTAAAACGATTTATGGCTGATGTTTCAGAACAGAGTAGGTATCTACAAAAGATATCTCTAAGTCTTGTTTTATTTCTGACACTATCCTGCTTCCAGTCTCAAGTTCCCAGTTTCAACCTCTCAAATATGTGTATTCATTACACATATGACAAGCTTTGCCTAGATAGCAGTAATGGTTACCTTTCTTTGAGTCTTTACTATGAACCAGGTATAATGCTGTTTCATATGCCTATTCTCATTTTGATACTCACAAGGTAGGCTCTTTTAGTGTTCCTATTTACTGATAAGAAAACTGAGATTGGGGTAATAGCTTACTTAAAGCCACGCGGGCATTATTTCATTTGACCTCAGGTCTGTTTGGTTCTGCAGGTAGAGTTTCTATCATTTATTACACCAATTTTGAGTTTCAGAGATTCTGATATTTTATCTTTGGGCTTCAGATAATTCCTTCAAAATTCCCATCTAATACTCTAATTGGACAAAGATTTGTATTCTTTTACAGTTGAGTCTTAAGGGAGTACAAAAAAAGAAAGCAAAAATTCCACAGAGGGAAAAAAAAACAGACTAGTTGGACAGGGAAGAAACAGCTGCATCCACTTTAGGTAAAGTTACATGGCCTAGTTTATGGTTTTGGATGAAACAGCATGTTACCATTTGTCTATTCATTCTCCGTGGTTTACTAGGAAAATACCATTCGTTTCCCATTACCTTTCTCTTCAAGAGCTAGGATAAAAAGAATATTATTTCCCCTCGCATATATACATAAATAAGCACTAATGAGTTCCCACTTTATTTGAAGACAAGAGTCTGTCATTTCTTCATCGATCAAGATTCCAAACTCACAAGAGTTTGTTTCACAAGAGTTTTGTTGACACATTTATGAGAGTTCCCTCTTTAAAAACAAAAATGAAACAAACAAACAAGAATCTTTCAGGAACTCATGTTCGATAACCCGGGGTTATGGAAAAATAAAGAACACTCGAACAAAGCAACACCAGGAAGTTATCTAATGCATATAAATACTTAGTGTGGAAATCTTCAATTATTTTCCTTTAGGGATTATGTCTTTAGGAAAGAGATAATATCATTTTGCCCCAATAACTTCACCTGAGATTGACACAAGGCAGATAGAGGAAACTGAATAGGCTGGTATTCCCCTAGCCTCTCCTTCAGTTAGGATTGTCTAAGACAAAGCAACTTCTACTTCTTTTTCTTGGAATCTAGTAAAAATTTGAAACATGGGGATTTATAACTCTCTCTCTCCAAGATATTAATACTTTCTTTCTTTGAACTCACATGATGCCCCAAAATGGCACCGTGAATCCTTGAGGAAGAACCAAGTAATTTGGAGTTAAAAGCGAGCTTGGCTAGTATGGTCATGCCTTTGGCCGAAAAATCCAGGCTCAATCCTGGTTGCTTTCTGGAATGGGAAGTGCACAGTATTGGTATCACAGGCAGCTCCAGAAAGGCATGCCAGGCCTCTCGTGCTCTCAATTTATATTTGCATGTGAACAGCTTGTCGGCCATTTTATGAAGACAGATGAGTCGCAGGCCAGAGAGAGGGGCGGCCAGACTGAACTACGGAACCACACACCCCTACGGCCCACAACAATTTAAAAAAGAAAATAAAATGAATATTTCTGAACACAGCTTCAGGCAGATTAAAAACATAATATATGAAAAAACAAAACATTTAAGGCATCACCTATAAGTAGGCTATTAAGAAAAAAACTAATCTATAAATATCTCTCTTATAAATGTTAACAAAAATAAAATGCAGCTGTTTATGACACTAAAATCAAGCCTTCAGAGGTTTTTCTCTCTCCCTCTTTCTTTTAATGCTTGCTTTGAAAATACAACTTCAACAGAAAACACCAGCAAAATACCACCAGGATGAGAAGAGGATAGCCAGACAGTCCATATTTAGTGTTAGAGCCCAGCAAAGTTATAAAGAATTTCTCAGGCTTGGGAAATGAAACAAATCCTGAAAAATTTAGTGATAGGATATCTAAGGTGGTCAGCTTAATCTTCCAACCCACAATACCTAATTCAGTTTATCTATCTATTCCAACAGATCAAACGGAGAACCAAATGGGAAAATGTATAGAACAACAAAAGGAAGAGAGGCTCAAGGAATGAGGTCATTCTAAGCAGATGAAAAACAAATATTGTCAGATAGTACTGAGCAGAAAATAATAATGGTAACACAGAACAACAGCCAACAATTTTTAAAGTATAAGCTATATGAAAACATACATATGATTTTATTTAATTCTTCAGCAGGTAGGAAATATTAATTCCATACTATTTTAAAGAGAAGGAATAAACTTGAACCCTGAGAGTTAAATAACTTAACCAGTATTACAAAGGTAAGAAATAGCAGAGGCAGAATGTTAAGGCAGGTCTGACATCACAGCCTGGGCTCTTAACCATGATGCCACATCCTCCTCACAGGCACCTCAAGGTCAAGTATTCCCATTAGAGCCTCCAGTTCTATCACCAAGGAAGAGCACTTTGAAACTTTATGAGATGATATCTCTGAAAGTACACAACGCAGTGTTTATTGTATGATAAGTACTGCTAGTTCACTTACTGGCTTTTATTGAAACTGATGATTTTACGCAATCAAAAATTCCAACGTATGACAATCTTTTTCGTACGTGGAATGCATACCTCAAATTCAGTATTTTACCAGACACTACTGTATTCATATTTAAAGGATTTATTCTATTTATCCAAATTACTGCAGTAGAAAGTGTATATATTTATGCAATTGAGGAATTTATTACTGTCATGTACCCTTACTGTTATATTTTAGACAATTTATAAAGTAACCCTGGCTGGTGTGGCTCAGTGGAGCCAGCCTGTGAACCAAAGGGCTGCAGGTTCAATTCCCAGCCAGGGCACATGCCTCGGTTACAGGCTAGGTCTCCATTAGGGGGCATGGGAGAGGCAACCACACATTGATATTTCTGTCCCTCTCTTTCTCCCTCCATTCCCCTCTCTCTAAAAATAAGAAAAATCTTTAAAAAAATAAAAAAGAAAGAAAAAAAAACCCTTCAAAGACCAAGATCATTTTCTTAAAGCAGGTAACGAAGTGTTGAACTCTTAAAAGCCCCAAAACTACTTGTCAATAATCTTAAATCGCTACTGGAGAAGATCATGAGGCATTTGTCACTTTAAAAGGAACTAAAATAAGCTCTGGCTAGGTGGCTCAGTTGGTTGGAGCACTGTCCCGTATACCAAAAGGTTGCAGGTTCGATTCCCAGTCAGAGCACATACCTAAATTGCAGGTTCAGTCCATGATTGAGGTGCGTATAGGAGGCAACTGATCGATGTTTCTCTCTCATATCAATGTTTCTCTCTCTCTCTCTCTCTCTCCCCCCAAATTAATACATATATCCTTGGGTGAGAATTTAATAAATATAAAAAGGAACTAAAACAAAATGAAAAAGTGATGATTCCTCACTTATGCTTTAAAAGATTCTAATTTGGTAAGTCAATTCCACCTCTCACAGTAATCAACTTTCTTGGGAAGTAAGGTTCTCATGAGTACCCAATAATGCATGGGGGTAGAGGTGCTAGAGTGATCCAGAGAATTCCTTGAGTCCTCAGTTGTTCCTACTGCGGGCCACCCATAGGGCAGACCCCGAAATCCTTGTACTTGATGAGCTGCTGGCTACTGTGGACTCTCAAAGCTAAACTTACCATTTTCTGGCTGGTCCTTAATGTCAGCGTCACTTGGCTGGCTGGGACTTTCAGATTGACTTGAATCTGAAAAACATAAAAATACAGCCAACAATTACAGGGTCTGTGAGGGAAAGTGAATTAGAGGCACCGGACTTTCTCAAAAGGTTCAGCATATAAACTAGGAGAGAGAAAGTGACGGTGAGAAATAACATCATGAACAAGAAAGAAAAGAAAAGAAAAAAGAAAAGAAAAGAAAAGAAAAGAAAAGAAAAGAAAAGAAAAGAAAAGAAAAGAAAAGAAAAAAGAAAAGGGAGGGAGCGGGTAGCAGCAGCAGTCCATGCCCTCAGAGAGAGTCTCGGTTTTCCTTACACCTCCAGTGCATTTGGCTTGTGCCAGATCCTAACTTGAAACTCTTCAGAAACCATTCTCTTACAGAGAGACCATTTCCAAACTGCTCTTCTCCATTATTTATACACTAGTGTCTGATAAAGACTTCATCCTTCATTACACACATCTGAAGCTTGATTCAGAACATAATAAAGTGTCAAAACATATTTTGAATCTGGTATATAAAAGAAGCCCAAACAACAGTAACAAGTTCTGTTGATATTTAGCTCTGTATTACAGCAACAGACTACGCAGACTAACACCATTAAAATACTAGCGTCCTAATATTCTAGCACATTTACTTGAAGTAACAGGATAAGTCAGCGACGGCTTTCTGAAAGGTACGTTTCCCCCACTTTATATTATTTTCTCTTATACTAATGCATTTGGGAGATTTTTAATGGGGCTTGTTAGCAAAAACAGGTTTTTAGGTTCCTGTACACCTTTATCAAATTTGATTTTTTTAATTAAAAAAATCATTTTCAAACTAAAAATAATCAATTAATTTAACTTCTAACTGGGATAATTTATAAAAAAAATAAGAATTTTAAAATGAGATAAAAGAAAGTTGGGTCAATTTCACACAATTGGGAGAACTGGCAAGGAGGAAAAACAATCGGGCAAAATAAGCCAAGGGAAAATTTTTTTGATAGAAAGCGTTTTCTGAGACTTAAAACAGTATAAAGCATTATCTAAAACTAAAAATATTTTTCTAGACAAATTTATATTATCTGCAGAAAGCCTGAATGCAAACTTTATCTTGACTTTACAGGATTAGAATTAACTGTCTGAAATTTGACCACATTTCAGCAAGAAGTTCAATGCAAGAGCAAAAGATCATGACACATAACTGAATAAATTGGAAATACTACCTCTATTTTAACAGAGTTAGAGTCGTACCATTCTCTTTCTTATTGAAAAAAAAAAAAGAAGTAGCTCTACTAGTGACCCTGGATCACGAAATGCTAATTTATAACTTAGAAAGTCTCCCTGCTTTTAAGCAAATGAATATTTTAATTATAGGGAAGTACTATAAAGATAATGCCTATTTTTAAAATTTCAGATAATCTTAACCTGGTGACCATAGCAAAAAATCTATGTTGATTCAAAGGTTTCAATGGCAAAAAAAATTGAAGTGTGAATTTTTATTTAAGTCTGGCAAAGCGTCGGTTTTTATCATCTTGTAACAATCACCATAGTGAAGAAACAAACAGAAAGTACTACAGGTTGAAAAACTTCAGAGAAATCCTTCAGAATCAACCACGAAATCCGCACTAAAAATTGGAAGTGCAAATTTATGCTGGACCATATTTGAAATTTTAACTTCATAAATTAATATTACTTTTAGAGTAAATGATTTAAAAATATGGCATGACTACCTTCTTTTTTCCTAAGAAAAGATCGTATAATTTTGCCTTTAAAAATTACAAATGAAATATCTGAGAAGTCAGTCAACATGTTTTAAAAAGGCATACCTTCATTATTTCTGTCCTGGAAAATTTTAAACCATTAACACCCATAATTAAAATTAAAGAAAATATCTAATTTTGTTTTAGGGAAAGTTAAAATCCTTCCTATTATGTCCCAAAATATATACATATACGCTTGCCAAACAGAACATTTTCTTTGGGAGTAATACTAGCAAGTCTAATTTTCTATATGATAGCTCTGCCGACATTCTTCTTCTAGGTATAATATCTTCACAATTAATCACTTCTTCATAAACACATGGAAAAACATTTTCCAACCCAATTAATTTTAATATACCATAGCCAATTACTTTTCTGATATTTACCCATTAATATTAAGGCCAAAATGATAATGAGAGACCCAGGTTTTTTTTTAATAATCTCAAGCGGACTTCTTTGGGTTTTTTTTTACTTTTCCTTTACATTTGGTTCACCACTTATCTTTATAGAAATAAAACATGATTATAGAAAACATGAATGGCAACAAAAGATACAAAGAAAGTTTAAAATTCCACTGAAAAAGAAACAAACAAACAGCAAAGGACTGAGCAGCAGAAGGCTCAGAGTTGGTCTAAAAGGGGCTGCAGTGCTTCCGTGAAAGCTCAGATGCAAACACTGGAGGAGGCACCTAGCCAAACTGAAAACGGAATTTAATTTCTCCAGTTTTATTCAAAAGCTGGAGATGCTGTTATCCTTAGAGGACTGTATGCTAAAATACACCATCTTGGTAAGGAAGAGGCAAAGTCAAAGATCAACAGGAAAATATAAATGATTTTAAAACTTCAATAATTATTTTCTACCACGGGCCGTTTAATGCCGTTCTTTTCTGAACCAAGGAACAAAACTACCCAGTCCCGGTGCTATTCTATGCTGAGCACACATGGACAGTTTCTCTGCTGCTGCAAAAGGTCACCAATGCTGTTAGGGAGCCATCCAGATGACCAGAATTACAAATTAATTCTTACCCATACATAATTGATACAAATGAAAGATCTTTTCCTTAAGCATTTGCATTCAAACACGATCATGAAGGTTAACAATTAATTTACTCTTCCCTTTTTTACACTTGGTAGTGGCCTGTCAGCAGCCAAGGTAACTTTATGTTCTTACTTTTTCGGACAATTATCACGTGATTAGATGATTCCTACCACCTGAAATAATTAGCGTCCCCCCCCCTACTCCCCACCCCCGCAACAAAACAAACGCTACTGCCTTGAGTTGGATGCCGTATCTTAGATCTTAGATCTGGCAGTGACTTTTCTCTGGTTCACTAGTTGAAAACCAGATGATCTGTATATTACAATGAAGAGAATATTATTTTAAGTGTGTTTAAATGATAGAGATGGAAATGCTATTGTGAGGAAGTACATTAGGATTATCAATTTTTTTCCCATCTAGGGATTTGCTTTTTGTTTAAGAAACCTTAGACTTCAACATAACCTTGAAAAGCAATATTTCTTTTGGTTTTTAAAAAATTTATGAGCAGAAATTTAAACCTAAAATAGACTGGGTTTGCATACTGGAGACTGGGTTGAGACCTCTTAATTGAACACCAGTAGCCATCTATCTATGCATTTTTATGGCGCCTACCGCTATAACTTTGGAGTACTCAGACAAAGATATTTCACTATCAATATGATCACTGGGGAAAGGAATAAAATAAATCCTAATGCCTACATATTAGTCTCTGCTTCTATAAGCTTGTGCAATGCAAGAACAGAAACCTTGCACTGCATTTGCTACTTAAGCACATATGCAGTTCCCCCAACCTCAGTTCAGCTCCCCTCAGCATGCAACCTCAGGGAATACTGCTTTGGGGAAGCTGAAGAATGACAAACAATGTCGACATGATAAAAATTACCAGGCTAAAATACAAGTATCATTTCCATGTGTTTTAGGTCCTTTAGGCATGAAGCAAAGACACACTGTTGCTATATCTTGACCTAGAATTAAACTTTCCTTTCTCCAGCCCTTAAATGTACATATATCTGTTATAGCATGACATATTCAGGTGTACTAAGGTGTGCTAAGGTGATTTTCAGTGATATCCATGAGAATTTGAGCTTGTAAGAAAACCCTTTGGTTACCCCCAGTACCTTCTAATGGTGCCTGGCCCAGTCAATGAGTCAGTAACGGCTGAACTAAAAGGATGAATTTTCACTTGTTGTTCAGCTTTCTAACACTGAACCACTGCCAGAGACTAAAAAAATATACTAAGTTCACACTTTACACGTGACTGGGACTTATGAAATGATAAAGGAGGGAGAAAAGGCCTTTATTCCTGCTTGATGTCCCCCTTTCGTGGGGCTTGGCAGGGACTAGAGACGCACATCTCTCTGGTCTGGGGCAGGGGAACCTTGCACAGGGTTTAGAAGTTGCAGACAGCACCTCCTGTGACTCCCTGGCTGACACACCGTAAGAGGCCCCTCTGAATAGCAGGAGCGGAGGACCGTGTGTGACACATTAGGAGGCCCCTGGAACTGTGCACAGGCTAAAATGATGGACGACAGACATTTCACACATTCAGAAAATACAAAGATAAGAGAAATCTGCCATATTCTGACACCCAAAGAGTGCCTCAAAATCCTACAGACTGCTGCTGTGAAAAGCTGATAAAGGAAGAACAGGCATGCAGCGGGGACGAATGCTTTCTACCCAAAAACAAACCAGTGTAATTCCCCTTTGGCCAATATGATATCCACAAAAGTCTATGGACCATAAAAGTACAAATTCTGGTTCTACTAGGAAAATAATTTAGCCTAAGTTTCAACCTTCCTGCACACATAATACTTTGGCCAAAGATGAAATTTAAGAAGGCTGTGTTAGAATTTTCTGTCCAGTTTTACATCTCCCAAATCAAAAGGTGATATGCAGAAAACAGAAGGCACCCAGAAACAAAAATGAGTTAGTAAAGTGAAATAAGTAAAGTGCAAATGTCACCTAAAAGAGCTGGAGTTGTTTATAGTGTGGGAAAAAGGGGCAAAGACAGGAATCAATACTTGATTTTTGCACACAAATAAATAAGACTTAAGAGCATTCCTGGGGATAAAAAAGAAAAGGGAATAAGGGTGATTATATTATGAATATAATAAACAGTTAAATTACCATCTAGACTTGTAGCCCTTAAAGATGTTAAAAATTTAGGTAAGCTTTCGATTCTAAGGTTTGGGAAGATGAGTACTTTGCAAAAAAAGTCAGGCCATAGAATACTGAGATTCATTTTTCTAC